GTGAGGCCGGTGCTGCCGACAGCAGCACCCCCCGTGCTCCACACCGTCCCCGTACCAGCAGCACCCAAACCCCCAGCAGCTGCCCAGCGCAGCCCGGAGCAGAGCCCCGGGACGGCCAGCGACACCGTGTGCTGCCGCGCTTTGGCTGCTCTGGGGCCGAACCGCCGAGCAAGTGCAACCAGATCACCCGTTACAAGGAATTTTATCCCTATCCTCATTTTCATCTTGGCTGCGAGTCCCACGCCAGCACGAGTGTGTTCAGTTGTGGTTACTCCATTTCTGCCTCTGCCCTGTGATGTCAGAGCGAAAACTTTTAGCAATTCAAACAGCTGAAGAGTGCCGTGCTTCTGCGGGTACCGAACCGCCGAGCAAGTGCAACCAGATCACCCGTTACAAGGAATTTTATCCCTATCCTCATTTTCATCTTGGCTGCGAGTCCCACGCCAGCACGAGTGTGTTCAGTTGTGGTTACTCCATTTCTGCCTCTGCCCTGTGATGTCAGAGCGAAAACTTTTAGCAATTCAAACAGCTGAAGAGTGCCGTGCTTCTGCGGGTATCGGTAAGCACCCGGGCCAGAGCGCACTGCGGCGAAGGGGCTGGAGCGACCGATTCACCCGCTCACAGCAGTGGCCCTGCAGCGGGCACAGCAAAAGCTGCTCTGGGAAATCGGCTGTTGGGAGCTTGTCCCACTTCTCCATCAAACCCAGAGGTTTGCTGGAGCCCACAGAGACTCCCGTGGAGAGGAACAAGTCTCTGGAAAGTAAACTTAAGTATCTGTGAAATTCTGTATTTATTACTTAGCTCATTAATCTTTGCAGAAGAAAAAAGTCCTCCTGATGTTTTATTCATGATGATCTGCTCCTTGATTCCAAGTCCCTTCGGCTTTTGCTCAAAGACCGAGAGGACCCGACGGGCAGCCGGGAGCCCCCGTGCTCCTGCGCGCTCCCCGCCCCCGGCTCCCTGCTCCGCAATCCGGCCGCGCGTCATTCCGCGCTTCTAAAAGTAATCGGAGCAAATACACCGAGCCCAGAACTGACCGTTAAGGGGATACTGAACCCTTAAGGAAGGGAGAAGCCCACCCCGCAGCACGGCAGAAACATCATTAACGCTCCCGCCAGGCAGTGGGACACGGCGGCACCGTGAGCCCCGCGGCACAGACACGTGCCAAGGTCTGCCTCCTTCCCGGGGACCCAGACGAAGGGCAGGACCACAGAGATTGCCCACGGAGCGAACCTCTCCTGCCCACGGCAGACTGCCAAACACTCCACAGCTTTTGGACCTCTGGCATTTTTTGCCAACGTTTCTGGCACGAGGGAAGTCTGCGCCTCCCCCGGCGCGGCAATGCCGCGGTGCTGCCATCCTCCCCACGCCGGTCTGTACGACAGCGCGCGGGAAACGGCCGGTGCCAGCAGCACCCGTGTGCGGCAAAGGTTCCCCTCCTCTGCCAGGGACCTCCAACGCCACCAGCACCAGCAGGAACCCTGTGCCTTCTTGTGGCACTTCAAACACCACTAAAGAGTCTGACCAAATCCGCACCAGTCGGGCACACTTTTGCTCCAAACCCTGCAAACTGCTCCTTATTTCCACTTCTTCAGAGCCAGGCTCAGGCTAGCACCAGCTGCAAAATGTCATTTGCTGTTGGGGAGGAGCAGTGAGAACGGTTTTCACATGTAAGAAATGTTTCAACAAGATTTAAAAAATAAAAAATAAAAAATCCTTAACTTCCTTCATCAGTCTGGCAGACACACGCTGACCCACATGCACAAAGAAAAGCGCGCACAGGCGTGCTCGCAGCTCTCGTCGCTGGGACAGCGGGGTGATCCCCACCACGAGCCTTCGGCCTCTGCACGAGCACACGTCGCTGCGTGTTTTACGGAACGACGAGTGATGCGGGCGGCTGAGGCTGGCCCGACGCTCAGCTTGGGCTTTGCTCCTGTAAACCAAGTTAAGCACTACTTGCTGTTTTATATGATCCCCATCAATAAAACATCACACAGATGCCCTCCTGTATCTCTGAATCTTGCAAACAGACTGAAGAAACCTGAACAACTGGTCCTGACTGTTAAAGTCATCAGGAAAAACCACACTTACTTCGTGATGGGCTGTAGAGCAGAACCCACGGTACATGCCAGAAAAGCAGGCACTGGCCTCAAACATGTTTAAAAGGGATTAAAGAAAAATCACACGGACTATAAAGCATTTCACACTGTGAAAAAAATGTGTTTCCCATCAATATTTTAAGCTCCCCTAACATCGCCTCTATTCTGAAAAAGTAAACATTAAATTATTCACCACTCTGCCTGATTTTATACTCCATTCTGTCGTACGTGGGTTTGCTCCTCTTAATTAACCAGTGCACCAGTAAAAAAGGCATAAACCCAGGTGTGGGCACCGAGTCCTCCACTGAACAACCCCCCGCACCCAAAACCCCCAGGGAACCCTCAGAGAGGGACGACCGCGGGCACTCACGGATGGAGCTGAACCACGGGTGCAGCAGGAAGAGCCCCTCTGTGCCCGGCCCCAGGAACGCGCTCCCCACACCCCTGAGAGCCGGGGCAGCCGAGCGGCAGCGCCGAGCGCACCGCGGCCCGTCCACGCGTGGTCTGCTGCTCCCTGCACTGGGAGAGCGGCAAGCGGATGGACAGAAGTTGCCATCGCCCCCAAACACCTCTGCTGCCCCCCAGCACACGTAGCTGGTGCTGGGCAGAGCCAGCCAACCCCTCTGTCACCAGTAACACCCCGACACAGAAAACACACTGGGCACTGTCCCGGGCAACTCCTGCCCCAAGGTGCTTTCCAAACCAGAGACGCAGCCTCGCCACTACTGCGCAGCTCTTCCAGCTCTGGTTGCTGCTGCGTGGAGGGCAGAGACCCGAGCGCCCAGCCTCGCCTGGGGCTGGCTCACCCTGCGCCCACCACCCCTCCTGGCTGGGGCACGCGCAGAGAAGTCTCCTTCGGAACGTAATTCTGCACAAACCACTTCTCCACAGTCTCAGAACGGAGAACGCATTTCGGCACTGGCTGCATTATTAATCTGCAACAGATTTAAAAGCCCTTTAAGACAGGAGCCGGTCCCTGCCGGGAATATAAATGACAAGGTCCCAGAGTGTGCATTTACACAGCTAACGCAGCGCTGCTCCTGCAGGTAAACAGCTCCGCTCGCTCCTCAAACACTTTTATTTAGTCCCACGCTGGGGCCAGATTAGAAAAAACACAGTATTAATTTTGCCTCCTGCAGACTAAATAGCATCTTTTCTTTTCCCCCGCAAATACAATGAACAACTGCTAATTCCCTCTGGTGACTGCTGAAGGGGAAGGGCAGCGCGAAAGCCGCGCTCAGAGCTATGTTTAGAGGAGCAGAGATCTGACAGCTAAATAGGGTTTTGTTTCTTTGCTTAATTTTTCCTCTGAAGCTGCATTTCTGCAGCCAGAGTCTCCCTGCTGCTGCAAACGACTTCCAAGACCATCGTATCGCAGCCGCCAAGGAAGCCACCGCTGCTTTAGGCACCCCTGAAGCCTCCCCTTCTCCTGATTTCTGGCCCCATTCAGCACTTGTGCGACAGGCTCCCACGACGAGGGGCTCCAGGGCTCGGGACTCACGGAAGATGGCTCCGCAGAGCAGCTCCGCGCGCCGTCTGTGCCAGCCGCAGCTCCGCGCCCTGCCTGCACCGCTGCCCGCACAGGGGCCCGCCGTGCACAGCCTCCTCGCAGCGGCACAGCCCTCCTCAGAAAGGAGCTTTACGGGAAAACCAGGCTGAGAAGCCACCTCCCCAGGGGGTGACCACCTCCCTCTCTTTGCTGATAAGACACAGGTTAATCATCACTGTCACTCCTTGCCCATAGTGCCACAGTGGGAAGAACTGGGCACCTGTGGACAGCGTGGCTCCAGCCGGGCACTGCCCCGGGAGGGGACACCTTCAGCAGCACAAAATTTAAGTGTTTCAGGAAATTTCCTGCGCCTCAGCTGCTCAGCTAATTCTGAGCCACCATCTGCATCCGGAGACTTGACAGCTCGACAAGAGACAGTGATTTTGAGCAGATTACAAGATTAATTACGCCGCATTCTTCATGTGCATTTCGGTTCCTTCAGGAGCATGCAGTGTTGAGTAAGGGCTTGAGACTCTCACTCATCCATGAGGAAAACTGGATTAAACAGAGGAACGGCAGCGGCACGGGCTGGTGTCACGGACTCGCTGCTTCACTCCCTGCAGAGGACGGGCACTCGCTGCCCTCACTGCCCTCTGGTCCCCAGCGCAGAGCTGAAGCTCCGGGCCAGGCGGCAGCTCCCAAGCACCAGCCCCGCTGCCCTCAGCCCGACACCGGCCGGGAGCCTCTGGAGGAAC